TTGTTTCCCTTGGTGGTCAACATGAATGAAAACATTCCCGCTAAGAAAACAAGGTTCCCTAGGTGGTGAAATTTACCTTCATGCAAATAAATACAAGTAGACAACGAATCAACAAACACCTAGAGGCAAACAAAGTCATTACTAAAAGCCAACATGGGCTTGTCAAAAATAGATCATGCTAGACAAATCTTATTGCATTCTTTGACCAAGTGACAAAATTAGTGGATTAGAGGAATGCTGTGGACATAATTTACTTGGATTTCAGCAAGGCATTTGATAAAGTAAATCACAACCTACTACTTGATAAGATAGAAAAATGTGGGGTAGACAGCATCACCACTAGATAGATCTGTAGCTGGCTGACTGGCTGTACTCAGCAAGTGGTCCTCAATGGAACTGCATCTACATGGAGGGAAGTGTGTAGCGGGTGCCCCAGGGCTCTGTTCTGGACCCAATGCTCTTCAACATCTTCATCAATGATTTGGACAAGGGGATAAATGGGGAACTCATCAAATTTGCAGATGACACCAAGCTGGCAGGAATACAACACTCAAGAAGACAGGCTTAAGATACAGAAGGATTTGGACAGCCTTGAACACTGGGCACTATCTAACAAAATGAAATTCAATGGTGAAAAAAGCAAGGTTCTACATTTAGGCAAGAAAAACCAAATGCACAAGTACAACAAAGGTGGCACCTTGCTCAACAGTGTGCTGCAGCTGCCAAAAAGGCCAACACAGTGCTAGGCTGCATTAACAGAGGGATAGAATCAAGATCACGTGAAGTGTTAATACCACTTTACAATGTCTTGGTAAGGCCACACTTGGAGTACTGCATCCAGTTTTGGTCACCACGATGTAAAAAAGATGTTGTGACTCTAGAAAGAGTACAGAGAAGAGCAACGAAGATGATTAGGGGACTGGGGGCTAAAATATATAAAGAACGGCTGCTGGAATTGGGTATGTCTAGTTTAATGAAGAGAAGGACCAGGGGGGACATGATAGCAGTGTTCCAATATCTTAGGGGCTGCCACAAAGAAGAAGGAGTCAAGCTATTTTCCAAAGCTCCTGAAGGCAGGACAAGAAGCAACAGGTGGAAACTAACCGAAGAGAGAAGCAACCTAGAACTAAGGAGAAACTTCCTGATAGGGAGAACAATTAATCAGTGGAACAACCTGCCTCCAGAAGCGGTGAATGCTCCAACACTGGAAGTTTTTAAGAAGAGACTGGACAGCCATTTGTCCGAAATGGTATAGGGTTTCCTGCCTGAGCAGGGGGTTGGACTAGATGACTTCCAAGGTCCCTTCCAATTTTACTTTACTGTTACTACTAACTCTGCTGCTCAGCATACCAAGGTGGAAGACACCAGCAGTAGAATCAACAATGTCCTAGAATCCTTCTTTGATTTGAAATATCCTACTGAAATTCCTGCAGATTCCAATACATATTTAGTAAGGTATAAGACATCATGTGAAAGTTAAAGTAGATAATGGCAAATTATATTACCTAGCATAGAGAACATGGGATATGGGGAAAGAAAGAATCAGAACTATCACACTTGATTTTGGGGGGTAAATTAATGGCTGCTTAGCTAAGCATGTATTGATTTGGGGTATAATTCCCAGGATTGAGGTATGACTATTCAATATTCTATAACAGTATAAATGGCTTCAGGATTGTGACACCAAAAGGTATAGTACAATTTTCCTTTTAAAATATATTTTTCACTAGCACATCTTTTTTCTTTGTAAACCACTAATAATTTGGAAAATACAGTCTTTCAAAAAAAATCAAAGATGTTTTTGTTTGAAAATAGGAATGGAAGGGCAGGGGTTGTATAGGAAGATAATGGAGAAAGCAAATGCATTTAGGTTGCCTGGCTACTCTACTCCAGCCTTACTGTTTTTATTCACTATGACACTATTGTTCATAATATAAATTGCCATTGTCAGAATAATAAATAGGGCTTCATAATAGAAATACTGGCAAACCCATTAACTATGTCCAAGCAAGTGAAGTAGCTCTAATACAGAAATGGGTGGGACTCAGTTAAGGCAAGCTTATTCCTCTGAATTGTGGATTTTTTACTGCTTTAGCAATAACCATTGTTATAATATGACTTTTTATAGTTATTTTACTTTTGCTTTCCATTATTTGTTCTAAATGGTGGAAACGACATCTCTATCAGAGCCCACCCCCACATTACTCCTCTCGCTAAAAATGGAGCTATGCCACTGGAAAGACTATTATTTTGTGTCTATACTCAAGAGATTAGAAATAACACACAACAATATAAGCAGAAAGAATTTTTGTTTCTTTATACCTTTAAAAATTAGTCTGTCTCTCAAATATACAAATTATAATTTTAAATATATTAAATATAAATATAATGCATATCCACAGATACACAGACACATTCCCTTTATCTTAAGAGTAATGGTTATAAAGTAGAAATAAACATGAAGACAAATAAGTGTGGAAATGCTCACACGAGCACACACACACACACACACACACACATACAGAAACACACAAATAGTAACAAACATAGACACAGAAAAAGTATCAAAAGATTTCTCTATTTCTATGGGTGAGGAATTTACATGCTAATTGATTTTGTCTGTAAGGACTTTAGGATGACAAGTTAATTAAAAAGATTTACATGGTGCTGAACCTTACAAAAAACACTCCTGGCTTGTGCATTGGTGCTACTTTGGTCAAGAAATCTATGATAGCTTTGCCTCCTATCTCCCTCAAAACAAGGTCTATTCTCAAGTGATTCTTTCTTAATTTAAGAGACAGGGGAAATGAAGTACATACAACATTTCATATTTTACCTCACAGCTGCCTTTGTTTTCTTATTTTGAATGTTAAACATTGGTAGCAAAAATGTATTTCCCTTCAGCCAAGAAAGGAACTTATAATCACATCACCTACTGTATATATTAAAGCATACTCAAAAACATCACTTGGCGACATTTGTTCAGGGAGACATAAAGTAGTTAACAAGAGATGACTTAGACCAAACTTATGTTGCTTTTTAATCATAATTTGAGAATTCAAAATAATTGCAGCATTTTAGATTGAGGCTTGTGGCTTATTTATCTCTTGGTTTTATCTTACTGTTATTCTGAGAGCTCATTTTTAATGTTTTAATGTAGGATTTGTGAAGTACCTAATATCATGGGAGGTAAAGACTGGAAACAATAAAAGCTAGTGTAAACATATTATACTAATGTGTGTGCGTGTGTCCAGTTACATTTATATCTATATCATATTTATATATGTAATGCACATTTGTGTTATTTAAATGTCTAAGTCTGGCTGTGCACTATGCATTTAATTAATCTAAGCTCGGCAACTCCCAACGAACAGTTAAAAAGAACATCAATAATAAAATGCAATACGCACATATACCTATTAAAACTGCAACATTATGATAATGAAGACAAATAATCAAATATTATCTCATTTCTGCCCACCTGGTACATTTGGGCAGAGTGAGTGCTCTCCATGTCCCTTCAATTAAAATGTCATATAAGCCGCTGTCACACCCTTTGCCCTCTGTAGCAGCAGCATCCAGAGATACAGAAAGCACCCACTCTCTTGGGTTCTGGTGGAAGGCCTACAAACAGATTGTCCCTGTGAATCCCCTATCAGGCTTAGCATATCTTTACTGTTTTCATTCATATGGTTGTCTTAGTCAGAGCTGTCTTATCTTGTTTGTGTGTTTTTAATTAAATAAATAAACATCGGATTCCATTATTCTCACTTGCCTCTGTTTCTAGCCATTTACTAGTGCCTGTGATACTTCTTTCATTAAAATATCACCTTTCCCACTTCCTCTCTTTCCAAGACCAAACATCACATTTTGTGGTTGAATGAATAGAACACAACTATCAGTTTTTAATTTATATCTGTCCAAGGGAAGAAACCTAAAGAGGATCTTTATCCTGAGCAACACTAGGCATCCCCAATAGTTCTGCCAATGCCCTTGTTAACTGTCCGAATTTAGCTTCCGGCTCCCTGGATTTCCTCCAGTGTCCCAGCAGTCTCTGCAGCAAATGTGGTACCCTGATCTGGAGCTCTTCTCCAATGGAGAAGATATACTTCTGCCTCATCCTACTTGAGCCCCAGCACAACTGTTGTATAATAAATCATAAAGTTATCATTATATAATGTTAGATAATAGAACTGATTGAGGAATCACAAATATTGAGATTGTATTCAGAAAAACAAGAAATTCTATAACTTTTGTATGGCTGAGAGAATACAAAATGTATTTCCAAAAACAAGTCTTTTCAGTGAAGATGATATTATTATTATTATTATTATTATTATTATTATTATTATTATTATTATTATTATTATTATTATTTGACATTAAACTACAGACTCTTTTTCAGTTTCCCTAAAACACAGGAGCCAAAGGTATATACAAGTGCTTTTGTTTTCCATGATCTGGTCATCAGGAACAAAACTGAGAATACCTTTGAGTGACTCCAAACAATAAAGTGACTCCAAACAATAAAATAACAGACCTAAACTAATCTTAATACTCCTTTAAGATACGTAGGCTTATAAATCTTTAATTTTCCATGAGATTTTGTTCCATTTTCTTTTCCATTTTCCATTTTGTTCTCCCATTTTTGGGAGCAATAAAATAGCAAAAATGTTAGCTTCTGTTGCTACCTGGTGACTTATGCATTCATATATTCAACTTTTGGCCCCAGACAATCTTTGAATTGCAACAGTTTGTTCAAATTTTAATGCAGATATTATTAAATGTAGAGAAAAGAAGCAGCAAAACTAGCCAGATGGATCTGCTTAGAAATGCATATCATTAGTCAAGAGATCAAGATACCAAGAATCAAATGCAAATCTCGCAGTCAAGAGCAATCTGAGTACAAAAGAAGAGAAAGTCTTGGTAGCATCTAATTCAATAGCATTTTCATTTCATTCCTGAAATTCTTTTGAACTACCTTAAGGCGCATTTCCTACCTGGTAGTCCAAGGATAGTCAAATATGGGCGGCACTCTGTAAGACCATTGCTCTCGGTGCTGCAGGTACGCCATAACCCCTGGAAAGTATAGACCTGCGTGATAGGATTGTTCGTAAGATCTTGTGTGCTCCACTGGTTCATGCAAGTAGATGTAATAATTCCAGCAACCCCTACCAGGCATATCATAAAGCCCAAGTTCTGTAACATAGTCACAGGCACGTTTGCAGCTTCTGCTGAAAATGGGCTTGCAAGGTATAATAGTAGGCCTGTGTTCTCCTCTGCTTACCTGTCAAACAGAAAGGGGCTTTTACTGATAGGTGGCTGCACACGTCACTAATGGGACAGGAAATCTGCCCTGTGCCATACAGACTCGCCCTGTTCCCTTTATCTGTTTCAGTTAGATTATTTGCCCCGATCGGTACCAAGGGCCATTTGTTACTCTTTCTTCCAGTGCCTTGCTCTCTATTTACTTTTTGAGGGTAGTTTTCATGACTAATTGAAAGGGTTGGCATTAGCTGAGCTTGGCAAGCAGCATTCTAGAAAGAAATGTCAGTTGTACTGCTAACACAGAATTATTTAACATAAAAACAATACTAGGTACTACTCTCCTTTTAGAATATAGTTTACTGCTATAGTTTGAACGTAGTTTACTGCTAAAATTATAGATTAGCATGCAGGCAATATGAATATACAGACTCTGATTTTAGCCATATACTCCATGCTCCAGTAAGGTGTTATTTCTGTTGAAATACTTGAAATGGTGAAAACTAGATTTATAAGATAATAGAATTACCTTCATTTTAAATGTACATTGCTAAAAGTATCATTCTAATTAAATCCTATAACCCTTAATCAGAATTAATGATACTTATTCATTTTTCTGTTTAAAAATTATAATTGTCATGTTTTTTTTCTTTTTAAAAAAATAGCAGCATCCAAAAGAACAAGAGAGCAGAAATTTTTCAGCTAGAAACCAAGTAGGATGGAGTTTGGGGAAATATTGACTGCCAAGAAATTCCACATTTCTCATGTCCAGTCACCCTACCTATAATGCAGAACTTTGTGATACTACAACATTAATCAGCCTATGACTGAATTTCATCCTGTTTTCTTGATACTGAAAATTACTTCATCCAGAAAACATCTGTTCTATTAGCTGATTATTACAGTATGAATTTTGGCTCCTTTATGATCTAGAGATGGAAAGGTGAGGGTTATATTTTCTCATTGGCTGTCATAGCAAAGATGAAAAAGTCAAATCAACAATAAAAACTAAATGTATGGGGTTTTTTTTTCTTCTGTTCAATTGTGTCTGATTCTCAGAGACTGTCTGGACAAGTCCCTGAAGTTTTCTTGCAACATTTTTCAGAAGTGGTTTGCCATTGCCTCCTTCCTAGGGCTGAGATAAAATCATGGTCCAAGATTACTAGCTTATACCTAAGGTGGGACTATAACTCATGCTCTCCTGGTTTCTAGCTCGATGCCTTAACTATTACAGCAGTCTGGCTTGCTAAACTTAATCATTTTCTGTGAGTTATTTTTTAAACTTGTGAGCCACTAATATCATTGTCCAAAGCAATTTATACCTTTGCTCTCCTATCACATTGCAAGGCAGCCTCTGAAAGATAGAATCAGATTCAAGGATTTTAGAAAATGCAAACCACTGGCTTTGATCTAGGCCTAAGGAACAAACAAAGGAAAGGCCACTTTGTAATTTCCTTTTTTTCTTATCAGAATAGAGGTTTCTACTTGTGCTGATGATATGCTTTTACTGGCAAGGATGTCTTTCGTGACTTTATCGACAAATTAATTGCAACTTCCAAGACATCTTGGTGAACTATCTAAAGCTTATAGAATGGCCCAGAACTGCATCCCATTTGATCCATCTGGGGATAAAATGTGGGTAGGAAGGACAGAAGAGTTGCTAGAGGAGTAATAGCAATAACCGGACAAGAAGGAACACTGACAGAGTGTTCACATTATTATGTGATAGAATAGCATCAGTCACTCATTCACAGACACAAGGTCTAAATTGCAGAACCAATTAACAGCACTAATAGCCCTTGCCTAAATTAATCTTTGAGACAAAAGGAAAAAGAAGTGGAAGTGCTATTAGCAAATCAAGCTGTACCATCCTTGCTTTATTGCAGGAATCTAAGTGTCTGTATTTGGCTATTATGAACTGACTGCAATTACGGTCCTCATTTAAAATGATTAAGTGGTTATAATTATTTTTCAATTAAAACTTAGATCTTCTATTTATGCAACACCACAGGCTTCAATTAAACTTCTCTCTCTTTCTCTCTCTAAAAAAAGACCACTTTGCAAAGGAGCCGAGTCCTAGATTCTTCTCCAGCCATTAAGAGCCAAATAGGAAGCTCACAGAGCTTCTGTTTCTATCTCTTCCCTTGAAGTAGAACAGGCTGGTGGGGATTAACCTGCACTTGTAGTATTTGCAGCAGGGCAAACCTTCAAAGATACAAATCCCAGAGGCAAACTGGGCAATTCTGTATTGCTGCTTTCTGCTAAATGTGGCTGCAGCAATTGCTCATATACCAGCTACTTGGATCAAAATGAATGAATCATATATCCTTATTTAGATGGGAAATGAGGTATCATTTACGGAAAACAGTCTTATACTAGGTCAGATTATTTGTTCATCATTTCCTTCTCTTCAGATTGGTAGCTATTTTGCAGCTCTCAAATAAACTCTTCTCCATTATATGCTGTTTAATCCTTTTTAGGAGAAGAGTACCATATCCTGAATTTCAGTTTCTTAACATGCAAGATGTGTGATCTATGGTTCCACCAATATAATTGTTAGCATTTTCATCACATTTTTTAATAAACTGCACGATTGAATATGAGTGTTGCAAAATAAATAATAAAATTGGTTATTACAACTTTCTTATCCCATTTAGCTATCAGAGTATATGAAAATTGGACAAAACAAGAAGATATTTCCTATTTGGAGAAATATAGACTGATATAAATAGGATGACTGACAAAAAGATCAAGTCAAAACTAGAAAATCCTATATGCGGGAACAAATAAATAAGGATATAGAAGAAACTTTTAAATAGGCAACATTCATCATGAATACTAATATAAAAAAGATTTTTTTTCCCAAGGCTATAAAGCAGTGGCTCTCAACTTTTTCTATACCCCACACCCCTAGAACACTTCTGATATATTCTCACACCCATTACAAAAGTTCAAAATAACGGCAATGAATTATGCATATACACTATAATTTTGAAAATCCAAGTACCCCCCCCCCCCCCGGAATATCATCTGGCACCCTCAGGGGGTGCGAGCACCCCTGGTTGGAAACTCTAAAGAATATAAAAGTGTTATATTCTGAAGCCTTATTCAAAACAGCTACAGTGGTTTGAAGTGATTGAAATGATCAGAACTTCCATGTGCCCTGAGCAATGAAGCCCAGAACTCAAACTGGGGAATGAATGGCAATATGGCTTTGATACATGGAAGCCTGGAAGCCTCCAGGGTCCTTGTAGGTTTTAAACTTTTGTGTTTCTGTTTAACAGAAATTATCATGAATAGACAAGGATTTTGGAAGATTTAGAGGTACCATTGTCTTCCTCTGCAATTTTTTTCCTGCATTCCAGAAGAGGCTTGGCAAGTGAGCTTACAGTGCAGAAGAGGCAAGGAGGGGTGTCCAAGTCAGAAATGCTGTCCAAAATCAAATATTTAATTAAATCAGAAAATAATTCAGATTGTAAAATGCATGTCAATTCTTTCAGTCAAGGATTTTGAGCCACCAAATTTTGATTGGTTCATCAGCTTTTCCAGTATTGATGTTGAGAAATCGTAACTCCTCTACATGTGAGATTTCTGCATATCTGAATTGGGAATGTCCACTTGATGGAGAAAATAAATTTAGCAAATAAAATGCACCCTATTTCTCCCTGTCTTTTAGACACCAGCAGGTCAAACTGACTTTTATTTTTGTCAAACCCTATCAGACATATTGGCACACAGACCCTTAAACAAAGGAGTTGGAAATCCCGCTTAACGCAAGAATGGAAGTTTCATCACCAGCTCACAGTAAAGACCAAGTCATAATAAAGGAATTCCAACAGAGTAACAAGCTGAAAAAACCTCAACCTTTCATCTTCAATCAGCCTGATGACCTCAACTTTCCCTCCCCTTAACAATGGAGTTCTCCAGTTCTTCTACTACTCCTGAAAGTTTTGTCTAATAATAGAGCTAACTTCAGGTACACAGACAAGGACCGGCCTAATTGCCCCAAACTGGCTAGCCAATCAGATCCCTAGGAGTTCCTGCCTTATAGCCCTTAATTTTGGCAAAAAATATTTGATTTCCCTTTGTTTAGTCCCTTTCTTGTAAGCAAGGACACATTTATTGTTGCAATAAATATGATTCCTACTCCTCAGTGTTATGCTCTGTACTTCTGAATTTTCTATGGCATACCCTATGTGCCCAAGGGATTAGGAACCCAAGTCAATTAACTGCCAACTGAGTCCCCATCCCAGTATTGTAGGTAGCTTTCTTCTGGAGAGTTAGGGTTCGGTAAATTCCCATTAGTGGGAACTCCACTCACATCCTTTCCCTAAGCTCTTGAAAAGTGCCATACTACTTTATAAGAAAAGTCCTGGAGCTGTTCTCCCCAGTGACTCCAGTAAACAGCAGTTGGTTGAAGTCTGCTTTCCTAGTGTCGCTAATTTGTGTTTTGCATACTCATACTAGTTAGCTAGAGGGAATGCTGATCCAGTTCAGGAGAGAGGATGAAACATAACAAACATTAAGGTGGTTGTATGAAGCTGCTGTGGATTTGAGTGATGAGACCAATAGGTTTGTGAACATGCCTTTCTATATTGAAGTTGCCTTTCCATTTGTTTCATTTGAAGTTTTGATTTCCATTCACTATTTGACACCACAAAGGTCTCCAGGAAGCCAAGTAATTGTGATTGCAAATCAGAAACTTTCCTAAGATGTTAAGAATTGCCAGTGTACAAAAATTGCTTTAGTTCCTCTGTTCTGTAATCATGAAAGTGACATGAGTTTCAAGCAAGAAACAACTTGTAATCAGTTCAACAATTTGTCTTTGCCTGATTGTGTAGTTGCATAAATAGAGTGGATAAATTGAGAGGACAGAAATATGTGTTTTAAAATGGAAATGAGGCAATAGGATAGGAAACTTGTATTCCAATTTATCTGTATCCCCTTCTTGTTTTTGTTGGTTTCTGAAATATTATTTTATTGTGTTACCAACATCAACAATATGTTCTTTGAGACAAGAAAATGTGCTGAATATCCTA